AGAGCACCAGCTCTGAACCAAATGACCGGAGCTCACACCTGGGCTCTGCCACCCACTGTTGAGTAACCTTGAACAAGTTTCCTCATCTTACTCTGCCTCAGTTTTCTCATCTGTAGAATGGGCATAATGTGGTGCAGAGTTTCTACTAGGAGGGATTAAAAACGGTCTGGAAATCAATAGTGGTGACGGCTGCACAACCTTATGAATATAAGTCACATCCCTGGGTTGCGCACCTGAAATGGTGAAAATGGTTTTATATATTTTTCCACAATTTTTAAAAATTAATGTGCTATGAAGCAATGGATTGCACACTTTCAATAGGTGAATTGTATACTATGTTAATTTCTCTCAATACAACTGTTTTTAGAAAATGGTAAGAATGGAGATAATCATGCTGCCTGTCTCCGAGGCTCATGAGAGGAGATGGAATGAGTTCACACAGTGCTTAGACGAGCTTACGACAGTGACCAGCATGGGGTGAACACTCAACTGGTGTCAACTGGCATATTAAATATACTTCATATGTCATCTCATTTCATCTCTGTAACAATTCTATGGGTTAAAATATATTTTTCCTCATTTTATGGGTAAGAAAATTGACAATCAGAAACGTTAAGTCACTTTTGTGTGGAAGTGGCAGAGCCAGGATTCAAACCCCAGTTGTGTCTGATGCCACAGTTATTCTGGGTCTCGGGGAAGGTGTTGGGAAGGCACCCTGAGGCGAGAACACGGTGGCTCCCAGTGGCCAGCTTGGGGAGAAACAGCAGCAGCTACACCTGCAGGTGGGGGGTGGGGAAACAGGCTGCAGTGGGCAGGTGAGTGGGGGAGATGGGGGTGGGCGCAACTTCCCTGATCCATTTAGAACTGAAATGCCCCACTCGCTAAACCATGAGCTCCCACTGTGGCCAGAGCACCTGAAATGCAGCAAGCACTTGAAACCCATCACCTTCCTGAGGAAGCAGAAGCACCACGGGGTTTGGGGATCTGTGAAAGTCTGGGTTTTCTGGGGCCTTTTTCATTTTGTTTTAGGATCCTTTTTTAAATTGTATTATTATTCAACCCACTCAGAAATGCCTGAACTTTCCACTTCCAAGTTGGCTGGAAATCACCTCACAGGGATGTCGCTAAGTGAAAATTAAAGTTCTTGACATTTGAGATGTCATCCTGCTCAGACACGAAACAAAAGGTCACCGGCATGAAGGTCAACCTGTGAACGGTGAGGTTCCCACAGCAACACCCAAGTAATACTGGATACCTCTGAGATCACTGCCATCAAGCCACAGCCCCCGGGGGATCCTAAGCAGGGGGCCTCCCACTTGGCTGGAAGAGCAGGAGAAGATTCTGGGCTCCGCAAGAGGGCTGGCAGCTATGGAGGCTACGTGGCCTGGGATGCTCCATTCCCCCTCGGGATGTCCAGCTGGGCTGGGCTGGCCTCTTCTGAAAATGGAACTCACATTTGACCCCTGGGGGAAGCCAGTGTCAGTCTGGGGGAGCCAAAGAGGTCCCCAAACCAGTCCAGGAGGCAAAACAGGGACCTGGAGCCAGGGGATGGAGCAGTGGATTCAACGCCAAAGGGGCTGGGTTGATTCACTTGGTTCTCACGGCAGCCACCCAAAGCGAGGGCTGCAGAGGCTCACAGCCGGGGAGTAGCTAGAGCCACGGGGATGCCCGTGGGGCCGAAACATAGGGTGATGTCCAGGTGCAAGTGCTGCCAGAGGTGGCCTGCGCTGGCCTCACAGGGCAGCGAGGGGGTTCTGGGGTCAGGTCATGCGTCAGGAGCCAGAACAGCTCATGTCAAACCAAGACAAGGTGTAAACTAGGTCAAGACAGCTCACCTTCAAATCTGAAAACAGCCCTACACTGGGGATGGGTTTGCAGCAAACCTAGAACATGGAGTTTGGGAGGTTGGGAGGTTAAACACATTCCCAGGCCACACACATTTGCTTTAAAGGGAGGAAAAATGAGGTCTGGGAGCTCCTCTGGAGCTTCACATCTGCTGTGCCACCTGCACAATTCTAAAGCGGGACTTGGAGTTGGAGCCCAAGGCCCCCTCGGCTCCCTGGTCTCCCCTCCCCCCTCTCCAGCCAGCAGGACGCTTCAGGCTGAGGTGCAAAGGGGCGTGGCCGAGCTCAGATCTGACCCTCAGGCTTTGAGTGTACAGGTTGCTCTGGGCTTTGCTCTTGGAGCCAAGGGCCCCAGAGCAGGTGAGCTCCAGGCAGCCAAGGGAGCGGCCCTCCAAGCTCCTCCCCTCCCTCCTCGCAGGCCTGCAGGGGAGAGGACCTTTCACCCATGTGGGGGTCCACTTCTCCCTGCAGCTCTGCATCTTAGAAAGATGCCAGATGGGATGTCACCTATGGCCACCTCAGCAGCACGGGCACCCCATCCTCCTGTCCTGACGGCACAAAATGGCTGCTGGGTCCTTCTTCCCCTCTGCAAAGCGGTTGGATCTCCTTTAGCAGTAGCTCTCAGACCATGGCTGTCCCCTCAGTCTCCAACTCATTCTCTCCCTCTAGCCATCTTCCAACAGCCTCCTGGCTGGCTCACAGCAACATGCGGCACGAGCTGCCAGTCATCCCTCCATACCAGGGAGCCCCAAACATGAGGGCCACAGAGCTGCGCCTAAAGCTTTACCTGAAAACTCAGTGCTTAAGGGACCAGGCGCAACCAGGTGAAGCCCCCCAGGCCCTCTCGCCCATCACCTACGCAGCGCTTCAGGCCCGAGCGCCACCTTTGCAGCCCGTGTTTCTGGGTCCCAAGCTCTAGTCTACATATCCAGGGTCTGTCTCAGTGGTGAACACCAGTTGAAGGCTCTATGCTGTGGTGTAAAGTCGTCCCCATTTTACGTATTGGGAAGCCAGGGTCCAATGAGGCAGGTGGGAACCTAGTAAATGGCAGAGCCCAGACAGAGCCGGCCACCTAGTGAAACCCCATGTCACCACCCTTGGAGCCCACCTGGGCCTCCTTCGCTCAGGTCCACAGTGACCCCGCTGGCTCCGCAGCCCCATCAAGTTCCACAGGCCCTCAGAAGGTCGAAGGCCCCCAAAACAGTTCAGCCAGAACAATTTGCCGTGGAAACGGTGACTCCAGGAGAGAGGCCGAAGAATGTGCATGCCTCCCCCAGCTTCTGCGCCGTCATTCCGCTCTCTCAAAGTCTGGTCCCTGCCTCACTGACATCCTTCACATTTCACAGATGGGAAAACTAAGGCAAAGGGCAGCTGCACGGACCATCTTACCGTCGCTAAGTAGGGAAGTTGGAATCTGAGCCCAGATTTCAGGCTCCAGGGCGTCTCTCCAAGGAGGGCACTGCCCATGAGACCGATCTCCATCACCCTCCCTGCCCCAGGGCAGCCCTTACATTCCCTCCTCCAAGCTACACACCATCCTGACCACACTGCTGCTCATACAGGAGGGAAAGGAAGGTTGATGGTGTGAGATACCAAAGGGCTGTGATGCCTCTTCATTTTAAGAAGCCACATCCTTTCCCACCTTATAAGAACAGGCATTGGAGGATGAGAATAGATGGCTCATTAACTATTGATTCACATTGCTCTGGGAGATGATTTCGAAACATGCACCAGCCACAGTCTCGTGGGAGCATCAGGATACACCTGTAGCCCATTTCCTACAACTCAAGAAGGTTATACAGAGCTGTCAGGTCAGGTGGGTACGGTAGAAATCTCAGCTAAACTGTCACCTGATAACACCAGTGCAATGCCAGGGCACCAGGGGACATCAGAGGCATTGTTACCTTTGGAGGACTGCACTCAGAAGGTCTGGGCACTCAAAGCAAACACTGTTTAATGGAATAGCTGAATATTATGACATCCTACAACATCTGCAAGCCAAAAACTCACAGCAAGGATGAGTAAAAGAACACTCTGTGTGTGTGTGTATAAATATCTATACATATGTATATCTCACATGCAAATATCATAAACATATATGTGTGTATATATATATAAAGAGATAGAGAGAGAAGAGACAAGACGTAAAATACCATCACAGGTCTTGTGATACATAGTAATCTGTCCTGAAAGCCAAAAAGAGGTATGAAGATAGGTTTGGAACTATCTCCTTACCTCTTTTTGACTTTCTGGAAGGACTTGGGGGGAGTTGTACGTGTCTCCTTGTTCACGTTATAGGATGATTCTGTATTGTTGAAATCTAGCACCTTAATAAAATAACAATGGCTTCTCCTTTGCAATGAATCTTGCTGTTTGGGAGGGCTCCGTCTTAGAAATAGAAGCTGGCTCTTGTAAATATTTGGTTAATTAGCTGTCCTATCTCAAATAAATGCTTTGCTCTCAGTGCTTTTGGTGGTTAACAATTTGTGAAGCAGTTTTATATGCGTTAGCAAGTGGCCGAAACATAATCAGCGCTGAATAAAAATTGATTGAATTGAATCAAGTTATCCAATTTGATTTTCACAATGGCCTATGGGGGTTAGGTTTCTGTTGGAGGGAAAAGTTGCCTTTAAAAAATATAACTTGGCCAGGCATGGTGGGTCATGCCTGTAATCCCAGCACTTTGGGAGGCAGAGGCAGGTAGATAACCTGAGGTCAGAAGTTCAAGACCAGCCTGGCCAACATGGCAAAACCCCGTCTCTACTTAAAATAGAGACTGGGCATGGTGGCAAGCACCTGTAATTTCAGCTACTCAGGAGGCTAAGGCACAAGAATCACTTGAACCCAGGGGACAAAGGTTGCGGTGAGCCGAGATTGTGCTACTGCACTCCAGGCTGGGTGATGGAGCAAGACTCTCTTGCTCCAAAAAAAAAAAAAAAAAAAAAAGAAGAAGAAATAAATAAAAACAAGTCACATGCCCATAGTGACTGAATTCAATCACTACAAAGGGTTATACAATCCACGTTAGTGTCCTCCTCATTTCATACCCCCATTCACTCTCCAGAGGGGTCCATTGTCAATACATCCACCCAGAAATTTCCCATCTACACAAACACATGCAAATATCTTAAAAAAAAAAAAAGCTGTACATCGTCACTAGTTTTGCATTTTTGTCTTAATTTAATAACGTAAATTGGCCTGCTTTTCCCATAAAATCTGTCTCATTCAGACAACGGTATAAGATTTCATTATATAGATGCATCATCGCTTACCTCCCCAGCTTCTAGTTTATGGCTGTTACAAATCTTGCCACAGTGAGCGTCCATGTTCATACTGCCACAGGGTATCTGAAGGGCAAATTCCTAGAAGTGGAATTGTAGGTCTCAAGTTACATGTACTCATGATGTTGAAATGTAAGTCACAATTGCCGCCAATGTAAACTGGTCCCGTTTCTACTGCCCCCAGCAGTGCTGAGCCCCGTTCCACCACACCTGAGTCATCACTGCAGGTGATCAAACTTGTTCACCTTTGTCAATATAATCAGTGAAAAATGGCATCTTCTTCCGATTTGCATTGATGAAGCAGTGAAGTTGAGGTCCTTTTCATGTATCCACAATATAGTAAGTTGTATTGTGTTGTTGTTGTTGTTTTTAAGTGAGCTAAGTTTCAGAGAAGAGAACGAAATGTTTTAAATGTTACTGTCAATAGCTGCAGAGCAGTGAGCTATGCGCATGTCAGCTCCAAGTCAGTAACTCGTAAACGTCCAAATGGAGAGGTCAACAAACATCACCAACTTAATATTGAGACCAGAATGCTTTCTACCCAATTCATCTACCACCCAAGCTTCTGAGCCGGGGAGAGATCGGGCTGACTTAACGGCAACTGGACGGGGACTTCACCTCTCCATGCTCCACCTTCCTCCTTCCAAACAGGGCAGCCGGATTACCTGAGTGTTGGTTAACTTTCATTCAAACACACCCTCTTTTGGTGCAAAAGAGAAGTCTGGTGGGGAGTGGAATGTGGTGCTGTTGGTATCATTGCGTCTTATCCCGACCTAGCAAAATTTTATCTTTTTTTTTGTTTTTCCTGCTTTTGATTTTAACGTTTTATTTAGCTTCTGCTCTGAGCAGATGATACATTCACAAGGTTCAAACCTCAACACGATGTAACCAGGTGGACTTTGAGAAGCCTGACTTGATCAGCATCTCATCCCCCACCCCTTGTCATTACTCTTCCCTTTATTGTCAGTAGTTTTTATTATGGAAATAATGGAGCTGGGTACAGTGGCGCTCACCTGTAGCTACTCAGGAAACTGAAATGAGAGGATCGCTTGAGCCCAGGAGGTCGAGGCCGCAGTGAGCCATGATCACACCACTGCGTCCAGCCTTGGCAACAGAGCAAGACCCTGTCTCAAAAAAGGAAAGAAGATAATAGGGGTTTTGAATTGATTTCCTAAATTTCAAAATATATAACAGTGCATAGGCCTTTTCAAATGATCTTTAATTTCTCTGCTCTACTCACTCCTACCCAGCAAGCATATTTCTCCCCTTCAAGAAGCCCTGAAAGAGAGACCCCCAAGGTTCTGTCCGTGACTAAGACAACGTGGCAAACGTGAGAGGGAGCCACAATGTAGCTGCCATAAAAAAATAAGAGTAATGTTTGAACTGTCAGCATTTCCCAGGAGGGACATTGCTATTTTGTGAGTGAGCACCTCATCCCTGGGAGCATTCAAAGAGATGCAGCCAGGGACGATGTGGCACGTTCCACAGGTGTCAGGAGAAAGGAGCGTGGGGCTTCCTCCACTTCCAGAATTCCACATTAAAATTTATTTATTCATTTATTCAACACACATATATAAATAAAGCTCCCTGCATGCCTACCAGTGCGCTAGGGAGTGCCGGCACAGAGCTGCGTCATAAGCCCTGCCTGCATTCGGGGGGATGGGGCCGGGGCTGCCGCACACAGTGCTGCAGCGTTGCCAGTGCACATTCCTCCTAACTGCACAGGGAGTTCGTGAGCTGGACAGCTAGTCAGGTAGCAGCCAGACACATGGAGAAGGTGTCAAGTCAGTGGGAGGGGGCAGTGGACAGAACAGAAAGGGAATGGCTCCTGAGAGGCAGCCTCTCCACATCGCACTCCTCAGTGGCCTCCCTACCTATCAGGCGCCACAGTGGTGTGACTGATATGCTCTCAGAATAGCCAGGAGTGGCACTGTGGGATCCTGGAGCTGTGACAAGAAATGGGGAAGGAATCCAGAGGCCTGGGCACTGCCTCTGTCTCAACTATAGACAGCCACCAGCGTCCCTTTCAGGGTCCTCCTCATTGGAACAACCAGGACATCTGGTCCCCTCTCACCTTGTGGAGGGGTCGAAAATGCCCATGGGAGCCAGGCATGGTGGCTCATGTCTGTAATGCCAGCACTTTGGGAGGCTGAGGCAGCCGGCTCACTTGAGGTCAAGAGTTCGAGACCAGCCTGGCCAACATGACAAAACCCCATCTCTACTAAAAATACAAAAATGAGTCAGACATGGTGTCATATGCCTGTAATCCCAGCTACTCAGGAGGCTGAAGCAGGAGAATCACTTGAACCCGGGAGGCTGAGGTTGCAATGAGCAGAGATCGCATCACTGTACTCCAGCCTGGGCAACACAGCAAGCCTTTTTCTCAAAAAAAAAAAAAAAAAAAATGCCCATGGGGATCTGAAGGCCCAAAATAGTGCATCCTCAGTTGGCAGCTCATCACCCAGACTCTGCTGAAACAGCAATCAGCAACAATTCCATGAGAGGATCTCCAAAAACATGGGATATCAGCTCCACACAGAACCTCACGGGCTGGAGTGGAGGAATTCCAAACCCATGCAGAATCTGAGCTCTATCCAGAATCAGACCACATGGCTTCCCAGGGTAAGAATCACCCAGAGATGCAGCAAAGAGGGTAGAGGAGAGAGCCGTGGAACCATCCTGCAGGCGTCCAACTCCGGCCAGGTGCCATGCCCATTCCCACATCTGTGATTCTCCTGTAAATTCACAGGTTTACAATCATTGTTATGGGTTGCATGGTATCTCTGTAAAAGTCCTATCTTGAAATTCTAACCTCCAGTACCCCAAAATGCAACTGTATTGGGAGATATGAAGTTTAGAGAGGTAAGGAAGGTAAAATGAAATCATATGAGGGGGCCCCAATCCAATGTGACTGTTATCCTTATAAGAAGACAAGATTAGGACACAGACACAGAGAGGGAGGGGTGACCATGTGAGGACACACCCACAAGAGAGCCATTTGCGAGCCAAGAAGAGAGGACTGGGGAGAAACTAACCCTGCAGATACCTTGATCTTGGACTTCCAGACTCCAGGACCGTAAGAAAGTGGATTTGCTGTTTCAGCTCCCCAGCCCTGTGGTATTTTGTTATCACAGTCCTAGAAAACTGATACCATCATTGTTTATCCCTTTGCTGTTTTTAATCTTTCTTCTTTTCTGAGCCATTTGTGGTTTTCCTCTCTATAAGAGTAGATTCCAAGTCCTTACAAAAGGAAGCCATAGGCTGTGTCTCCCACTCACACGAGAAAACCGATACTTGCAAATCTGCACATGTGTGCATTCACACACACATGCACACACACACACGCACACACACACACACACGCACACACACACTCCATCTTGCCTCTCCATCCAATAATCTCCCAATCAAGAAATGGTCTCCCAACCAAATGAAGCATTAGTTACAGTCCGCAGGTAAGTCTTGATTTATGAGCAAACTTAAAATGAAAGAGCCCCTCTCCAATGTGACAAGAGGGGCTCCTGTGTCGGCTGACCTGTGCGGTTAAACAATCTTGATATGTGTCTCCTTTTCCTGCTCACTGCCTACTTCTGGCGTGCTTGTCCCGCCCATCCCAGGTGAGCCTCCCGCCTCCCCAAGTCATGGCATCTTGCCTACAGTATCCACAGCCTTGCATTTGGGGGGGAGGATAAATCATTCCCTTCCTCTTCAATAAATAATGATACGGATATGATTTTAAAAGCACACTCATCCCATCCACCAGAAGGAGTCCACAGGGAGCATGAGGGGGGCGTCCACTTCCTGGCGGCTCCATGTGTACTGCCTGGCCTGCGGTGGCTGAGCAGGGCCTGAGCCTGCTGGGAGCTGTTGAAGGAAGTATTCCTCAACAACCCCAAAATGTGCCCATTCACTCAGTCTTCCTCGCTGGATGACACTTCAGCTGCCCAGCACTCAGAAGTGTCACCAGGGACATGGACGCCATTTTAGTTCACGGCTAAAAGCTGGTCTGCTCTGAAGGCAGAGGCTGCCCTGGACCTGAGGATGGAGCTCGGCCAGCAGGAAATCTACCCACGAAATACAGGGCGCCATGGCGGGGTGGCGGCTTGTCCCGATCGGCTTTCCAAAAACAGCATTACGTCCAATGTATAGAAGCCGTAATAGGGGCTTCTCCCTTTCTGTCTCACTCTACCTAATGAAAACTGTTTCTCTATCATGAAAAAATTATTTTTATTTTTATAATGTTATTTTATGGAAAAAAAAAGACATGAGATTAAAATGAGAATCCAAGTCCAAAATCATCCTCAAGTCTATCCTCTAAGAAAAGTTCGTGTTTCTCTTTATCTGAATTATTCTTGTCCATTTGCAGTTGTCGTCTTCACAAAAATCATTTTCAAATCAAGTAAATAACAAGTAGTTTGCTTTTTCTTTCTGAGCAATGCTATTTCCTTGGAAGGTCACGAAGAAACATGAATGAGTGAAAAGTGTCCAGAGCGTGAGTCATGGGCTGTGATCTGGCAGCCGGGTCCAAGGGAGGGGGCACTGGCCTCCCACACTGGACGCCAGGACCAGACCCAGATACGGCAGCGAGCACCCTGCCACGGGACAGCGCTTTCCCTTCCAGAAGGTGCTCTGCACACACACCCCCACGCACACGCGATTCCACACTTGCTCTCAGCCTGTGAGTGTGCTGCCAATCAGAGGAATCCACCTGTTCACATCTGAATGTTTCCCCTCCGGGTGCCCGTTCTCTCCTTATCCCAGTTTGCTACAGATGGGCCCTTCAGCCAGCAAGCCGCCTCAAGAGGGCAAAGGGTTCACTTAATCCCTTCCCAGAGAAGTTGTTCCAAAATATTCTTTTCAAACAAATCCTAATCAACGGCAGGAAAATGTCCCAGAAACGGAGTGCCCTCTTCCCTCTTTGCAGCATGCCCTCTGTGCCCACTGAGGGGTGAGGGGGCTGAATTCCCCGTGAGCAGCTTCCCCGAGGGTCCCCGCCCTGCCACTCAGGTCCTCTGCTGTAGTGTAGACAGCAGTGGGCAGTGAGGACGCTGCACAGAACTCACTTCCCGCTCTTCCTGTCCCCCTCAGCCTGGGACAGAGTCCCGACGCACCTCTGGGCTCCTGACTCCTGGGAAGCTCCTCCTGCGTGGCTGCATCCCAGGAGCCAGCTGCAGGCCTCGCTTCCAAATGCTCATCCTGCCCGTGGGTTGACCAACAGCCACTCATGTCCTCTGCCAGCCGGTCTTCAGCTGGGCCTGTCTCTACCCGATTCCCCCAGGCAGAAGCAGCAGCGCAGGCCCCCTGAGCCAGGGAGGAAGGGCAGAGAGGAGAGGACAGGCGCCCTAACTAGTTCTGTGCCCCTCGGCCAGCGCCAGGGCGCCACGGACCAGGCCAGAGTATGAGAAATGAGCCACCAAAGTAAGAAAGCAGGCACAAGGCAGCCCAAAGGCTCATGGGTTCCAGAGAGTTCTCCAGGAACTTTCTCACTCATCCCTCCACACCGTCTTCTTTTCAAAATAATGCTGGCACAGGGCCAGACACACAGGTGTGCCACACACACGCACACACGCTGCGCGCACACACTAGACTCCCCACAGGCCCACAGACACACACCTGCCCACACGCTGCGCGTTGTTCTCTGCTGACATCTGAGCAGGGCAGGTTCGAATGCAGCCAGCAGCCACCCACACCCACCCCAGTCGCAAAGGCATCAGCCTTCTCCCCCTTCTCACTTTCAAAGGCCCCTTCGTTCACCTATGTGTGGACCTGTGGCCAGAGCTGCAGTATTCACGAGAGAAAAGGAATCAAATGCTTGGTTTTAGCACAGGAGGCGCGGCATGGGCGCTTGCCCAGAGATCAGACACCAAGCCACGGCCACACCTGTTCTGCCCAGCGGACCCTGGCACCCACCCATGTCGGTGTTTCCCACGTGACTGGTATCCTTTTTGCTTCTTTGTTTTCCTTGCCCACTCAGATGACAAAGATGTTCTGGCCACACGGTCATAGGTCTGCTAGGAAGTGACCTGGGTATCTTGAGACCTGGCTGCTCGTGCTAATGATGGGCCCTTAAAAGGGAACCTTGGAGCCTGACGGGGCCGAGGCTGACTGAGAGACCCCCACAGGT